AGTTTAGTGTCTTATTGTAGTTGTTGTTGTTTGTTGTTTAATGCCGCTCTCAGCGATATTCCAGCTACATGACAGCAGTCTGTAAATAATCGAGTCTGGATCAGACAATCCAGTGATTGATAACATGTGCATCGATCCACGCAAATGGGATACGATCAACCAAGTCAGCGAGCCTGACCACCTGATCCGGTTAGTCGCTTCTTACGAAAAGCATAGTCACTTTTTACTGCAAGTATGGGTTGCTGAAGACCTATTCTACCCCGGATCTTCGCAGGTCTCTTATTGTAATATTTTGGTTGGTAAAGTGTTTACTTACCAAAGCACAAGTCTGAAAGTAACTTGATCCTGACTTGGAATCCTTGTAGTATCATGTTCAGGGGGATAGTGTAACCTTTCACTTCTTTGATTAAATGATATATACTACTTTTGATAGGGATAATCAGATATGTCAGATATATTTAACGATACATTTGACATACCGTATTCGACGTAATAAACGCCCCACTCTAATAAGCGCCCACAGTGATATTTGCTAATATATTGGCAAGTGAACAATCCCAATTAGCATCCCTTCCGATTGATCAATGTACACAAGACTTATTTATTCGTGTATAATGCGCACTCGTGTGTTATATGCACCCTTAATAATGGGCAATTAAATTCTGGAAAAATATATCTGTCGTATATAAACAGTTCAGACCGTCAGCATAAATTTTAACTTTCAACTCTGTTTTTTCCACCAAAATAATATTCTAATAAGACCCCCCTATTTCTAATTTTGAGAGCGCCCTGGGCGCTTATTACGTCAAATACGGTATTCAAAAGTTGAGAAGTATATATATATATAGACAGTGTATTTATATCTGCAAGAATGCAGTATACCCGACACGTTTTGCCATGTCGGCAAGGGAAGTGCACAAGCTCAATATTAAGTAACGGTTTCTAAGTTTTCCAGACGCCATTTTTGTAGCCTCGCAAAAATAACAGGGTTTGGGGGGCTTTTGCCCCTACACAACAGCTTGAATTAAATGCATTTGTAAGTATATGTAAATTTTAATTACCAAAGTAGTTACAATATACGTGTTAGCTGAAATGTGGTTCAGAAGGATGTCACTGATGAGGTTGCCGCATGCCTTTATGGAACTTCTATTTTTTGAGTACTTTTTCCATGTTGATGTCAAATTTTCGACATTTATGCACCTCTTTGATATTCAATTTCAAGGTTTAATCATATTAAACTATACAAATGCAAGCAGGGGAATGTTTTTGCTTATTTTGAGCTATTTTTCCTATTTTTCAATAGTGATGCTGTCACATGTGGCTTTATTAGTAGGATCAAACAGACATGGCAGAGTTTTTTACTGCGGATAAAACTTGATAAATCTGTTTTTTGTCCCCCTTTTCTTACACTATTTATCATAAACAACTACTATATTTTAATCTTTTTCAAACTGTGATATACAGTGTGTAGCATGGATCATGTTAGGTAGGCCGAGCATCTACTGTTGTGTTGGTCATCTACCCCCTACGACTCCTAGTCAGTTAGACCACAGATCATCAATTATAAGGTAGCGATGTAGCAAGGGATCGCTGTATGTATTTGTTTTCCTAGATTGTTTTTGATAGTATGATTGATATTATGTTTTATATCTCTTCCCCAAGTTTATTGATCTTCAGATTGTTTGTTATTAAATATTGTCTACCATAAAAAATATATTGAAAGAATTTCATGTTACAAGCACAAAGAATGGGTTTACTACTTCTCTTACATTATACCGCCTCCGTTGTCAGTGGATAGAGCGTCTGCCTGGAGAGCAGAAGGTCGGGGATAAATCCCCGGCCACGTCATACCAAAAGATATTAAATGATGGTACTTGTTGTAACCCTGCCAGGCACTCGGCATTAACGGAATAAAACAAGAACTGGTCAGCTCGGAGTCAGAATAGCGTGTCTAAGTGGGGTATCCATGTTTAACTGCAACATGGCATCTCAGTGGAATAGCACTATAAAATCAGCATCAGTCCGTACTAGTACAAGCAGCCACAGCCACAGCCACACACGCAGCCACACACACACACACACACACACACACACACACACACACACACGTCACTAGATAAGTACAGTTATCTTGAACACTTCCTATCACCTTGTTCAGTTCTCTTCTAAAACTTTGGAGACCACCTCCATGGTGTAGTAGATAGACCGTCTGCCCAGAGAGCAGAAGTTTGGTGGTTCAGTCCCTGGCCTCGTCATACCAAAAGACTTTTAAAGATGGCACTTGGTCTCTGTGGAAGAATTATGACCAAGTATGCTTGTTGTAAGAAGCTAAGATTGGGACTAAGTGGCCAGATTGTCTACAGAATCAGGGTTGAAGTCTGGATGTACCACTATAGAACATAAGTTTTCAGTCTGTGCCACCCTACCTCCAGTATGTGCTCGTGGGTTTCACCGAAGTGGTAAACGTCTAAGACCTGCATCACTTCAGGCTTTCCTCCCACATTAAGCTGACACGCTGTGATATAACTGGAATACTGTTAAAAGAGGCGTTAAACCCAACTCACTCACTCACTCCAGTATGTGGTGCGATGTCATGATAGCTGTTGTGATAGAGCTGTACATATGTGCTGATACAGGCCACAGGGACATATCATTCACTCACAAACTTCCAATCTCTGTTATCTATGTAGAATAATAGATAAATCCTATGTGTAACATAACACTTTAATAAGGTAGACACAATTTTATGGATAACAACTTCTTTAATACTGTAAAAAGCGACATTTCGGTATAGATCCTTATACCGTTGTCAAGCAAGACAGTCTTGCCACGCTCAGCCATATTCCAACTATATGACATTACCCTGTAAATAATCAAGTCTGAACCGACCGACCAATGATAGACATAATGAGCATCGATCCGCATGATGGCCCTCTATCAAATCTCCAAACCCGACCACCCAATCCATTTAGCTACCCTCTTTTTCATGGACACAAGGGTCCCCTTGCACAAAGCGATCTCAGTGCTAAGACTGTTGTAAGCCTATGTTAAAGTATGGGAGTCACGATCATCTTAGCGCTAAGATCGCGTTGTGCAAGTGGGTATGTTCATAGTAACAATAATAATTTATAACTTTATTATAGTCTTTTCTACCTAAATACTAAATTGAATCAGTACATGTTTTCTATAACACTGTTGTGTTCTACTATGTGAAAGTTGTTATTTTTATGAACCAGACTTCATGTCAGTGAGGGCAATAGTTTTATTAATACTATGCCTTCTGGCCTAGAGAGATAAAATCTCTATATTATTCATGTGTCACAAACAAGGTACTCATTTGGTTGGCTGTGGTGACCTCGTGAGAAATAATTGCTTGTCAGAGTGACGATCGTATTGACCTAGCTACGTAGCCCGGCCCCAGGCTGTGGCTCTGTAGGTTCACCTTCAGCTTAATGCCAAGGTATGACGTAGATCACTTTTGTTCTTTCATGCATGGAGAGTCCAAATTACCAACAATTTGTCACATGGACTTTTGTTTCTTGTTTATTAATCCAGCGCTCTCTGTCAGGAAAGTAATGTTGACATTTCCTGACAAATCATTGTTCAGGTAACTAACTATATGTGGTGAGGGGAATATCCTATGTTTGACCTTCATGTGAATAATTAAGATGTTAGCATAGATGTTTTATCCAAAAAAAGTGGTCAAATGTAAAAAAAATGTAAAATTGGGGGTAACACTTTCTTAGTAAAAAAAGCCGAAGACCCGGGTTTCGATTCCCGACATGGGTACAATGTGTGAAGCCAATTTCTGGTGTTCCCCCGCCGTGATATTGCTGGAATATTGCTAAAAGCGGCGTAAAACTATACTCACTCACTCACTCTTAGTATAAAAGTACAGATTCAAGTACTTTTTTGGGTTGAGTCGTCCGGGATTTGAACCCAGTGTCACTGCCATGGTGAGACACCTAATCGCCAGCACACAAAGTCAGCAATCTAACCCACTCAGCCACCGAGGCTTCCACAACAGGAAAAAAACAACAACAAAAACACTAGAATCTGTACTTCAGGGAGAAAGTGTTATCCTAAATAAAATACTTTTTAAAGTTTGTTAGTTTTTAGGTTAGATTGTAATTTCAAATGCAACTACTTCTGTTATCGGTGTGCCTTGTTTCAGCCAGATTTGACTTGAAAAGATGGGTACATTAAGCTTTGTATATCACACTTCACAGGGGTACATTGTCTGTGTGTGACACTCAGACAGGGCACATTATAGGGCTGGGACGAGTCCGAATTTGCTACCCGGGTACCCAACCCCCTATTACCCGACCCCTACCCAGGTACCCTCTGTGGGTCTCAAGAGATAGGTACAAAATGTCCGATTGGGCATTTTCTTACCATAGCACTTGCAAAACGCATTTAGATACATGTATTAAACAATCTGGTCATGCATACACTGAATTTGACTCAAGTTATATGTTTATTCAAAGATATGAAAAGTCAGAATGAATGGGTGCATAGTCAGAAAGAATTACGACCATTAGTGACTTGTAGTGAAACCATAGAGTTCTAGATAAGTTTTTGCCATTAAACAATAAAATCGCGTAAATAAACATAGGTCCGAGTAGTCCTGTGGGTACCCGGGTCCTACTTAGTACCCACCTGACCCGGGTACCCGAGTTACTCATCCCAGCCCTAGCACATTAGACACATTCCCTTCAGGGATACTTGCTTTGTGTGAAATAGTAACAGGGCAGATTATACTCTGTTTCACACAGTACGTGAGCACATTTTGCTGTGTGTGTCACACTCAACAGTGGCACATATCTTTCTTACCACTGCGATTGTCGTAAGACCCTTTGGTGAACGTTGACCTGTGGTAGTCTTACATTGTGGAAAAGGGTCCAGATATGATTGATCGTTCATCGTTACTGTGGACCTAAAACTACCAATAAACCTCATCACAGTAGCTTGAATGATAATACCCTTTCTTTGTTTTGCAGATTCGAAGATTGTATCCTGATGCAAACCTGAAGCTCCCTGGAAAGAAAATATTTGGAAATTTGGATCCGGAATTTATTCGTCATCGCAGGGAGGGTCTAGATGAATTTATTCAACAGCTGATCTCTCATAAAAATGTGTGCCAACAGTAAGTAGCTTGATGGTGATCATTTGAATGTGACAGCATGCAGAGTTGTGTCCCTTAGCTGGCCATATTCACAAGCCCTGGGTTCAGAACCAAGCAAGGGTGATGGAATAATCTAGTGAAAAGTGGGGGACAATGTGAAGCCAATTCATGGTGTCTGTCTCTAACGTTATTGGGTGCCGATCCACAGAGCTTTCACAGCGTTATTACCTCATGTTACTCTCCAGTTATCGTAGGCTCGTGAATGTTGTAGTACTAGAACGCTTTGTGGATCAAGGCCCTGAAATGTTACTTCACACAGCATCAACCAACACTCATTAGCTCACTGAAATTATTCCAAATATGTCCTTGGTTTGTTGGCACTATTTACCTGTGATCATGTGTTTCACGAAATTGGTAACGATTTTCCAAAAGGCGTATGAAAAGGGAATTGGATAAGGGTGATGTTGTACGTGTGTTATTGTACCCATTTGACAAAGCCAGAGTATATGTAGTAAATGAAATTGTCTTCTTGCCTTGGATACAGTGAGACCTTCTTAGTATGGATGGTACTCTTCCCAATGAAATTGTTGGGATGGCAAATATCTAGATATGCATATACATGTATGTTAGAAATGTATCTACATATGCACATGTGTAAGACCTTTCTAACAGACATTTCCTGCAAGATGGGTACCTGAGCCAAAGGGTTTGATCTTCACTCCCTGTATTTCACTGTATGTTGATAATTAATAAGTGTAGCCACTACTTTAAGAAAATTGCGCTTAGAAATTTGAATAATGGTGGCGCTTATTAAAACAATACACAACAGGTTAATTTTTTTGGCAGAGATCAAGCGGTAGTGAACAAACATTTCAAATGTTGATGAAACCAATCTTTTTAAATAGTAGTTGCTAGGCAATAATGTCCCTTTTAAGCTTCTGTTTTCTATGAGATTTGTTTGTTTGTTGTTAAACGCCGCACTCAGCAATATTCCAACTCTTATGACGGCAGTATATAAATAATGGAATCTGGACCAGACAATATAGTTTTCTATTAGAGAAATGTGTAATATATACCAAAAATACAGATCATCAAGTAATTTTCAGACTTCGTAGGGGTGCTTGTTTAAGATTGCTTACAGATTAGACTATAAGATGGTTGTGGAGGGGGCACTTATTGAAGCAGGGTGATAATAAAGCAAAAACAGTAATTTATAAACATGAAAATGACAATTGAAGAATAATGATGATTTTCACTTGTAATAAGTTGTAAATAGAGTTATTTCTCCTTTACGGACCAGAAATAGGAAATACCACCCAAGGCAGTACTACTTCCCTGCTTACACCGTTTATTTCATTTTCCTGCAGAATCTTTAAAAACTCTGACAGTGTTCTTTACTGAACTGCCTAAAGTCGCAGTTAAGTTTGTTATAAAACCATTATCCTTCAAGTGATTGAGGCCTTTGTCTCTCGACATGTTCAGCTAACAACATGATTAGAGACAAACGTGCAGGTCATTGCGTAAGCCCTGAGGGGCTCTCACGCTGGAGTCTAGGAGCACGACTATACAGAGACATGTGGATTTCACGATCTACCACTCTATCACCATGGACAAAAAGTTGTGGGAGAGATTGAGAGATCTGTCAATGATGGCTAATTAAAGAATGAGTGTCATGTTCTACTTAACTAGAAAGTCTATTTCAAGAAGCACCTGTTGAGTAGTGGTGATATGATGAATGTTTTAAGCTTCAGGCTGTGGTTTAAAAACATGGTATACTTTTTATGGTACTGATTATGATTTGAAGTAGGACAAAAATCTAACAGCTTTTACTAAAATTAGCTAACAAGTTGTTATTTCCGTTTGATGTATTTTGTTTGGACTCTTTGGGATCTGTATTATCAGGTGATGATCACAATATGCTTATTTTGCTGGATATGTTTGATCATCATGATGTTTGGTGAATTAGAAACATATGATTTGATTTGAACCAAAGAGTGAGTGAGTAAGGTTTTACAATGCATTTTAGCAATGTTCCAGCAATATCACAGCATGGGGTACACCATGTCCCAGAATGCTGTCCTAGATGTAAATGTAGCTGAACTTTTATTGTTCTTGGATTGGTTGCGACCTTCATGGGGGGGACAGAAACGACCTTGGACCTTCTAGTGTGCTGTACGTTGTCTGACCTGCCCTTGATTTCCTCACATACACTCAGCTTGGATTGGCTGATTCTGACAAACCAAGATAGATCTGTGTTTATTGTACTGCATGTCTGAAAAAAACAATGGTCATGCTTTCGTACACATTGAAGTTATGTTTGGGTTTGGATATTTTCTGGAGAGATAAAAATTACGAATTACGTAAAAATGGAATTATGCATTGAATATAATTATGAAAACAAGAATCATTATTAACAATGAGCCTAATATTCTGGTGAATATCATATTCCCACTGTTTTTCTATCATCTACTGAAAATCCCAATCATGATGCTTGGTTTGTCATCACTTGACCTTGCTCATGGGTTTGTTTGTTTGTTGTTTAACACCGCACTCAGCAATATTCCAGCTATATGATGGTGGTCTGAAAATAATTGAGTCTGAATCAGACAATCCAGTGATTGATATCATGAGCATCAATCCATGCAATTGGGATATGATGACATGCATCAACGAAGTCAGCGAGCCTGACCACCCGATCCTGTAGGATCTTACAACAAGCTTGGGTTTCTGAAGACCAGTTCTAACCTGGCATCTTCCCAGGACTTTCTCATGGGCAGACACGTCTCCTGCAGGCATCCATTCATGCCCTCCAACCACTTTGGCTGCTGGGATACAACTGAAATATTCATGAAGGCAGCTTTAGATCCAACACAAACCCCCTGTTACACTATCAAAAACTTTGATCAAAAACTTGTTTTCGTTTACACTCATCAAAGTTTTTGACAGGCGGTCAAAGTTTTGGTGGGAATTATCTTGCCAAGAAAGATGCTACTGACGAAGAATGTTTTTCTGTTGCCATATGTATTTTGTGTATGGCCATGTTGAGAAGGCGGCGTTGAGGTAGGAAAAGGCATATTTGGTCCCGAGAATGGCTCGTTGTTCAACTAAATTAATTAATTCTTCCAACATCTCGTCTGTCCAAAATAGTTGGCTCATTTTGACTTGACTCTATGCACTTCCAGTTGAAAAGGGGTAAATATTCCTTTCATTCTGATAGGCTAAATTAAATCAACATTTGATCAAAGTTTGACGAGAAAAAGGATCTCGGTTTCTATTCCATCAAAGTCTGTCAAAAACTTTGCCGAAGTTTTGGATAGTGTAACGGGGGCTTCACTCATCCATTGTCATGGAGCTCAGATATGTTGCAGAAATTCTACGTTGTTCTCAACGTTACTTGGTACTATGCTAAACAAAGACTGCGCTTTTGGGGGATATTTTTATGAAAGTGCTCTGTCTTCAATGCAAAAAATTATCCCAAATATATTCATGATTCCTAACCTTTTTTTGTTCAGTATATAGGAAAATGGGTCGGGTGGGCTAGCCTAGTGGTTAAAGCATTTGCTCATTACATGAAAGGCCTGGGTTTCATTCCCCACATGTGTACATTGTGTTTAGTCCAATTCTGGTGGCCTATGCTGGGATATTGCTAAAAGTAGCATAAAAACTTACTCACTCACTTGTTACTTTTGACGTATGAAACTGTTCATTTCCAACAAAACAGAGACGAATCTGTGCCAGACATATCAATGATCCATCCTGGCGTTCTAGTACTTTGTTTGCCTTGACATGTACATGTGTTTTCACCGTGCAGACAGCCCCATATGGTCCTAGATTCCCATATGTTGTACCAGACTGTGACATATTGGTGATGTAGGTAACTGTGCCACCAGCTGAGACATAGTGTCCTGTCTGTGAGCGAGTGAGTGAGTTGGTGGGTGGGGCTGTGTGTGGGTGGTCTGGCATGCAGGTGGGAGAGTGTCTGTGAGCGAGTGAGTTGGTGGGTGGGTCTGTGTGTGGGTGGGCTGGCATGCAGGTGGGTGAGTGAGTTGGTGGGTGGGTCTGTTTGTGGGTGGGCTGGCATGCAGGTGGGTGAGTGAGTGAGTTGGTGGGTGGGTCTGTGTGTGGGTGGGTTCGCATGCCGGTTGGTGAGTGAATGAGTTGGTGGGTGGGTCTGTCTGTTGGTGGGCTGGCATGCATGTGGTGAGTGAGTGAGTTGGTGGGTGGGTCTGTGTGTGGGTAGGTTGGCATGCAGGTGGGTGAGTGAGTGAGTGTCTGTGAGCGAGTGAGTTGGTGGGTGGGTCTGTTTGCGGGTGGGCTGGCATGCAGGTGGGTAAGTGAGTGAGTTGGTGGGTGGGTCTGTGTGTGGGTGGGTTCGCATGCAGGTTGGTGAGTGAGTGAGTTGGTGGGTGGGTCTGTCTGTTGGTGGGCTGGCATGCAGGTGGGTGAGTGAGTTGGTGGGTGGGTCTGTCTGTTGGTGGGCTGGCATGCAGGTGGGTGAGTGAGTTGGTGGGTGGGTCTGTGTGTGGGTAGGTTGGCATGCAGGTGGGTGAGTGAGTGAGTGTCTGTGAGCGAGTGAGTTGGTGGGTGGGACAACAGGTATTTCTGATTGATCACACTTGATTGGTAGCTGTGCAAGTTACAATTTTGGAATGATTGAATAATGTCATTAATCATATTTTGAAGCTATTAAAGTATTTGGTTACAATTTTCCCTGTGTTCTGCAGCTTAGTCACTGAGATTACACACTGTTGATGCAGTATACACCAATTAACAGTGGCAGATGTTGTTGCAGTTTACACTTTATAACTATAGTAGATTGATCTGTTCTTAGATAGTATAACCAGCAGCAAACTCAGCACTGAATATACTGTATTCGACATAATAAGCGCCCAGGGGTTAGAAATAGGGGTCTCATATTAGAATATTATTTTGGTGAAAAACAACAGGGTTGAAAGATCGTACATTTCGTGGTTTATGCTGTCAGCCTGAAATGTTTATATACGACAGATATATTTTTTCCAGAATCTAATTTCTCATAATTAAGGATGCATATAACACACGTTTTATACACGAATAAATAAGTCTTGTGTACCTTGATCAATCGGAAGGGATGCTAATTGGGATTGTTCACTAGCCAATATATCAGCAAATATTGCTGTGGGCGCTTATTAGAGCAGGGCGCTTATTACGTCTAATATGGTAACAGATTATCTCTCTGGTGATTATTGTTACAATGACCTTGTTGGTTTGGAAACCCCACCATCCCAACAATTACTGTTTGAAACGTCAAAATATAATAAACGTGACATTACTACGTGATTTATCAATCAAGCAAAGAATCTCAAAATTAAGACAAATCTCACCCAAGACCAGTGTGTGCCAATAACAGGTTTCACAATATGTTTTCATCTGTATAAACTGAAAAATATGAGTCATTATTCATCTTTTAAACCATTACAACTGTGAAAATATTAACAACTTTCAAAACAAGATTAATATCATCATTGACATTTCCTTTTTGTTAAGTCATGAAGACAATAAATTTCAATGTCACACTCTCTAAAGGCCTTGTCAGTTGTCTGGCAGCTGGATTGTACAGAGCTGTAAGGAGAGAGTCATAAAGTGTTTCAAGCAACTTTCAAGGGGAAGCAAGGTGCAGTGGTTAAAATGTTAACTTGTTGCTCTGAAGGCCCGGGTTCGATGGGTAAAATGTGTAATGCCTATTTCTGGTGTTCCCCACTGAGATATTCCTGTAATATTGCTAAAAGAGGCATAAAACCATACTCACTCACTCAAGAAGATTTACTTTGTTTTGTCATCATTGGTTAGGTTCAGTCAAATCGGTCTGCAAATATGTCTGGTAACATTATTTCATTGGGCCATTATGTTTTTTATTTGTTTTTATTCCAGATCTATTGACCCTTTTTTTCCAATTGGAAAGAAAAAATAATCTGAAATTTACACATTTATTTTGTGATTATTCCGTGTAAAACTCATCTATTAAACTTACCTCCCTTTGTCTTCCAATGAAATATGACCAAAAGCAAACCTTTAAGCAGATGATGGCACTAAAGATGGTGAATTCATTAATATTTCCCCTTCTTTACATCCCTTGATCCAGTTTTTAAAAATGCAGATGTCAGCTTTGACAAAAAGAATCTCTGGTCAAACAAATAAAAATTGATTGGCCCAGTTAAGCTTAGCTAATATTAAATAGTGAATATGAAGCCCCAGTGAAGATCGGAGATAGACTTGATCTTCAGCAACCCATGCTTGTCATAAGAGGTGACTAAGAGGATGGGGTGGTCAGTTGATGTTTGTTTGTTTGTTGTTTAATGCTGCACTCAGCAGTATTCCAGCTATATGACGGCGGTCTGTAAATAATTGAAATTGGACCAGACAATCCAGTGATTGACATCATGAGCATTGATCCACACAGTTGGGATGCGATGACATGCATCAACCAAGTCAGTAAGTCTGACAACCTGATCCCGTAAGTCGCCTCTTACGACAAGAATAGTCGCCTTTTACGGCAAGCATCGGTTGCTGAAGACCTATTTAAGTGTGTCATCATATCCAAATTGCGTAGATGCTCATGATTTTAGTCACTGAATTGTCTGGTCCAGACTTGATTATTTACAGACTGCCATCATATAGCTGGAATATTGCCGAGTAAAGCAATTCACCTGCAAGAGAAAACATCATAATAAGAAACACTTAATATTTTCATTTAAAATTTTGTTACAATAATTAAACTCTCTGTATCTTCACCTTGGCAATAAATGTGGAAGAACAAAATATTAATTTGATGTAGATTTGTGTCTCAGCACCAGTAGTTTCGAAACACATATTTCATCCCAATGTGTCAGTGAAATGTGCATGTGACGCCTTGTATCATCACCGGCCAAGGCGTCATACATATCACAAGTGCATTTATGCCCATAAATTGCACTGTGAAAGTATTACTGTTTCCGTTAATTACTACCATGTGAATGGGTCCACATGGTGTTTCCCATTCAGTGTGTTATAATGAGGGGGCACCTGTCAAGGACCGGATGTATACATTAAGACACACTTTGTACATTTTATGACCAACATGTAGATGAGTATATTACCCCTCTTCTCCTAGACATTTCAACAGCTGTGAGTTTTGTCATTGGTGGTGGTTGTGTATACTGCAGGGTTATTAATCAGAAGCATATCTAATATTCAAATCCATCCATTCAGCAGAAATATTTGTATGCTGGGCTTAAATTTACATAATGAATTTGGTTCTCCAAATTTCGTTTCAGTTATCAATGGCATACTACAAAATCTATACCATAATTACCATTATGATGCTCAGAAGGTGTTAATTTTTCTGTATGTATATTTCATCTGATTATTGATAAGATTATGCATCAAAACAGGAGAAATGTAGGGCTGTGTTGGAAAGGGGCATGGAAGGGTTAATACAACAAAATTCATTGTATGTAAAATGTTAAAATAGTTACAAAACAGGGTCTATGCATTGTCTGAAGGCGTTGCTGTCAGAATGGAAAAGACAAGTGATCCATTGTCTGAGTTGCTATGGAAAGAGTTAATATCATGGGAATAGCAGGAAACTAGGGCTATAGTCTTGGCAACAGATGTTGAATATGTGAATATTCCTGGTGTTTAACTTGTGTTGTATATGCGTGAGTGTTTGGGATGAATACTGTGGTTATTGCTCACTGGTATAAATGAACCTTTTGCTTATTCCGGTTGTCATTTCATTATTTTAGCCCTGATGTGCGGAGTTTCCTCTCACTAGACAAGCAACGAAATGCCCAACGTAGAGTTGACTCAGACAACTTTGAAGACGCCGATATAATGGTGAGTATCTTCCCTAATTTAGCTAAATATCTTGAATGAACATCAGTGAAGCGTTAGGGCTGGTGTGATACAACTGAGATACAATGTGCATCTGATGGAGGTCGTGATAGGATATGCGATACAGTGCAGGGATTCTTAAGGAATCGTACTCCATCATCAATGGAACTATTTAGGTTCATTGTTTGTTTAATGTCACACTCAGTAACGTTTTACTTATATGACGGCGGTCTGTAAATAATCGAGTCTTGGCCAGACAATCCAATGATTGACGTCATAAGCATCGATCCTAGCTAGTTGCCCACCTGATCCCATTTGTCGCCTATTACAACAAGCATGGGTTGCTAAAGGCCAATTCTAACCCTCACACGGTTGCCTATAAGAAATACCTGGTTTGTTAAAATGTAAAGTACATGCAACTTAAAGAGAGACTCGTCTCCAGGGATGTGGTGTTCTCATAAGTCTAGACGTTGTTATTGAAGTAGTACCATGTGTACCTGGTATTTGTTAAATTCGGGTAATCATGAACGTCTATTTTCATATACATAGAGTACATAGGCAAAGAGATTTTGATTAACGTGAATCAAACTTGTCTGTGGCATGGTCCTCCATCTTATGTTCAAAGAATGCAATTGAAGAGCAAAGGTTTACACCAAGTGGCTGGCTCACTGTAGTAAGAGACATTTCAGGAACATTTCTGACATCTCGTTGCCATGGATACCTATTTTTTAGTCATTTAAGGAAAACCAAAGTCTAGAGCTGTTCTAGTGACTGTCATTTCTACAGGATGAAACTAGACTGTATGTCTGCATGTTTTGGATCCCACTGGGAATGATTACAATTCTATGCCCAATTCTGAATATGTTGTCAGAATAATTCCATGGTAACACATACAATTTCAGCTAGAATTTACACATTTTAGTGTCACAAATGTAGGTATGGTGTTTTGCTTATTTCTCCATGGCCTACTTTTACAAACTTTTTTGACAAACAGCTATGAAAAACAGAGCATACAATCTTGGAAAGTGGACTTCCAAATAATGTTTACTCCAGAATGTCATGTCCATGGCTGTGTCGATCAGGATATTATGGAAAAAATATATGTAATGAATGAGCTGTTGGCATCAGATAAATCCCCTGTGGGGATGTCATGGTGGAAAAGGTCCCGTGGATTGAATACTTGTGGTAGGAGCTGACTAATGAGAATCAAGGGATGTAAAGACTGTGACCTGGCTGTGTCATTGTGCCTCAGGTTAACCGTTATGAATGAGTGAGTAGTGTTTTATGCATTTTTACTCCAGAAATGGGCTTCACACATTGTATCCATGTGGAGAATCGAACCCGGGTCTTCGGCGTGAGGAGCGAACACTTTAAACACTAGGCTACCCCAGCGCCCTGTTTAGCCTCATGATGGTAACAATGTGCATATTAATAATGTGCCAGATCCACACCCTACAGCATGCTGAAAGCGGGACATTATTACCTCGGTCAATGGATCAGTGTGCACTCGATTTTCATTCTCAACTCCCTGGGGAGTATACAACCTGAGCTGCCTGTGAGGCAGTCACATTACTATCTCGTCTTGCCTGGTACCCATTTACTGCTGAGTCAACAGAGGGATATTTCAAGCAAAGTCATTTGCCTAAGGAGAGACCACATGTGCTACATATGTGCTTCAGTCTCGATTGATGAATTAATTGAAAAATTGACAGTATATTATGAAATATTTTAAAGAGAATAACAAATGGCATGAAGCGATATTAACTCCATAAATGACCATCTGTCATTATTTTGCCTTGTCAATGTGGAACTAACGTAAAAAGGACGTCAACAGTTTGTGTACGGGCTGGACATTTAAGATAAAGGGAGACAATTTGAGGGGAGGTTGCTCTTGTAAGACATTAGTTCCATCTAAGTGTTATGTTCACAGAAGTGAAATATCAAGTGTTATGTTCACTGCAATGAAATATCAAGTGTTATGTTCACTGCAATGAAAATATCACTTTTCTCAACTTCGGAAAACTCAGTCTTTCACACTGAAGTATATAATAAAATTCACTCACTCCAAAATGAAATTCGATCATCATTTTCATCTACATGAAAGGAATTAATACCGGGTAATCTTATCGAAAATAATCATTGCCTTATTTTCTCATGTATGTATGAATGATTTGAACTGTGGAATTCCTATCATGAAATATTTCATATACAAACAATCTTGGAGGGGTACCCCAAGGTCATCTGTTCAATTTGGATATATCTGGCTGTCATTCAGATGGAGCTTTCAATCAGCCTTAACTATAGATTGACATCTGATACCAAAACAACAATGGCCCATTTCTCCACAAATTGTGTTTTTTCGAGGACATGTTTATCTAATCAATGCGAGCCTTCCAAAGGAAATCAAGTGCTCGGCCACGCAGACAAGGCAACCGTTCCTGACGCCATGCCACTGAAAGCTTTCTGGAATTTAACCCAATTTGCTCCTATTTTATGGTTTGCTTGTGTCTACATGGCATCTGGCTCAGGCTGACCCAGTGGTTGCTGGGATATATAGCAAAGGAGCACTGTGGAGAATTAATTATATCTGAGTCATATTTCTTGTAGACCCAATTCAGTGGAATATGTTTCCAGAACTTGATGGTAATTTCTTTTGAGTTAAAACTTTTAGGCAGATATAGAACAAGGCTGTGGGTATGCTCAAGTTTTGAAGACATTTAATGACATTTTGACAGAGACTGATGTGACATGCCGACCATAAAGATGTCAGGGGTACAAATTGTTGGAGGATTACATTTGTAAGGATGTGTGTTGCCAGTTTATTCTTATTCTCTTACTCACTGGGGTCACTGGTGCCCGCAATTCACTGTGCGGAAATGTGAGTGAGTGTGTGAGTGAGTCACATTTAAAGCTGCTTTTAGCAATATTCCAGCAATATCATGGCAGGGGACACCAGAAATGGGCTCCACACATTGTACCCAGGTCAGGAATAGAATCTGTGTTTTCGGAGTGACGAGCGAACGCAATAACCCCTAGGCTTAGTAACCCGACTGCCCCACTGTGTATCCCTTTGATGGTTGTTTTGAATCCCAGTTCGCCGTGATTATGTTTCTAGGTTTGTCAGCTCCAGATCATTGCTCTATTGTTTCACCAAACTGGTAAATGTAATGGTAAGATCTTCACCGCTCCTGGTTTTCCTCCCACATCAAGTGGACATGCTGTGATATACCAGTAAAACTGGAGTACTGTTCAAATGAGTGAGTGAGGGAATTGTGTTTAAAGATGCTTTGAAAAGTTTTCCAGTTATGTCACGGCATGTAAGCTTAATGTGGGAGGAAAGCCCGAAGTCATGTAGGTCTAAGACGATTACCACGTTGGTGAAATCAACGGGTATAGTGCTGACAAACCGAGAAACACAATCAGGGCAAACCAGGATCACCATCATAGGTTCCTGGCATGCCCAAGGGACGCAACACAGCTCAGCGAATTGCGGCGCCTTAGACGACTGGACCACTTGTGCTCCAAGTACTGTTCAAATGTTCAAAGCAACTTTAAACCAAATTCACTCACCTCTTTTCACAAAATTTTGATTTTTCAGCTCACATGGCCTCAAAAGCCGGTGTTGGCGTCAGTGTTCGTAAACCTAAGCCTTTTACATTATTTTACTTCTTCTCTTTAATGGTTTGATAGATACAGCAGAAACTTTATTTGGATGTTTGTTACTTTAAGTCAGTTAAAGGCATCAAATTGTAATTTCAGTATGGCTGACTGGTCGCATTCTTTGATCAATGATCTTGACAATGCTATTTAGGATCACTGCTCAGCCATTTCTGTTCAAAATGTATTGTAATGCTCTTACATTCTCTCAAGTGCAGTCTTGGCTCTGTTAACATCTTCTTGGTATGTCTCATACCCTGACTGTGTGGAGCGTTGTTCACCGTATTGATCACAGGATTGTCTGGTCCTGACTTGATTATTTACCGGCAGCTGTCATATGTGCTGAGTGCAGCGTTAAACAACATACATACGAACAAAAGCATGATTGTGGGATGGGCTTATCAACAGTTTGTAGTGACAGTGACATTAGGGCGACTGTCTGCAGTAATTACCCCAGGTGCTCCTCTCACAGCTGTCACTACGCTTAATTAATGCTGCTCTGGACACTTTCTCAGTTGTATCACGGCACTTCAGCTTCAACATTGTGGAAACCTCTAAGTAATGCATAACATATGTTTACCACCTTGGTGAAGCCCTCTAGCACCATGTAGGTGCTGACAGATCATTGTTCATAATTTCTGTGAAACCTGGCACCGAGGGTTGCCGCTCTGCACACTGAGGTGTTGGGGCAGACCAATAGGTCACCTGTGCCCACACCTGAGCAAGAAATAAACCCGTATTGATTAGTACAAGACGATACTCACAATGGTTAAGATTTCCTGATTTGTTAGGAATCTCCTCTGAACATGCTGAAGGAAGAAGGATTTAAGGATTTATTTAAAGGTTTAGAGGTTCTTTGAGAAAGTTGCGACGATACCGTTCCCCGTTTTCAAAGGAACAAGTTTACATTAGTGGTTGGCCAGACTTGTTTACATGTAGAAGACATTGTGATTGAGCACAAAACATAATATAAACTATAATTATCCATTGTATCATATTCTAAGATTCACCATTGCTGAAACTAAGACCATTTGTTTTGTTAGTGCTAATATATATACTATTCAAAACAAGTTAAAGAACACCCACAATTGGATGGCTGTGTGTTGCAATACCCCCCAGCCATGACAGACTAACTATAGACATGAAAATATTGGGTGTTCTTTAACTTCTTTTGAGTAGCATAGTAATAAATCAATTTATGATGCGCCAGATTCCATTCACCAAGAGAATACTCATGACGCTAAAAACCCTTATTAGATCAGTATGCACTTGACTTTCATTCTCAGCAGCCTGGGGCCCCAGTGAGTATTCTCACGTTGTGTGTGAGGCACTAGAAATATGTCTAT